GCAGCCTTGTTGTTCTAGAGTAGAAACCAGGGTGGGTAAAGTGAATGAGCTACTTCTCCAAAAACAAGCCAATCCTTCCAAGGCACAATGAAGGCAAATTGACAGCCAACGCAACTGAGTAAGGTCACTCTGCTGTGCCTCAATAAAGTGCACTAAGGGTGGAGGGGAGATTTTAATTTCCTTTACGCTTGTCACATCGATTTCTGTATGTCTACACACTGTACATAAACATACTGCATATAATGTTCAAAATCAGATCTTGAGCAGTATGCCTTACACTCAGTGGTCTTTGAAGATAGAAAGACTCTTATCGTGATGAAATTCTGTCTTCACCACTGGTATCACACAAACGTAGACGGGTCATGAGAAATAATGTTGCCACACTGAGGCTTCGTGTCCAATCTACTTGTTTACTTTTCCTTTGATGAATCACGGTGTTTGTATCTGGAGTTGATTGCAGCACTTAGTTTACACTCAATTAAAGCTCCGGCAACCTGAAGGACAGATAGAGCTGAAGTACATGATTGTCCATAGGTTCGTTATCACACCATACAGCTGCTGAACAGATGGTCTTCCCTGCAGCTGTCCTTTCTTCTCACAATGAGTGGGTTGTTTAAATCTAGGTAAAAGGTTTATAGTCTGTTACCCAGTCTAAGGCAGTGTTTAAACTAGGATTTTATTTCCAGATTTCCATTTCCACAATTTATACTAGAGATGTGGGTGGAATGGTGGTGCAGGGGTTGGCATTGCCACCTTGCAGCGCTGGGGCCCTGGGTTCAATTCCTGAGTGGTTAATTGGCCTTGGTGTGACTGTACAGTATGTGTGTCTGTATCTGTCTGCCCTGCAATGGACAAGTGTCCCTTACTGAGATAGGCTCTGTCTTCCCCACAGCCCTGAACTGGATAAAGCAGATAGAAAATGGATGCATTTAAACTAAACATGTTGTATGTAAGTAAGAAGTCTACAGTAGAATGCAATGTATGTAAGTCTATAGTAGAATGCCTTTTAAGCTTGAGTTCAGGTAGCACTGAAAATGCATGGAACCCCTGACCTGCTCAGTGTAATGTACAGTATGGCTTCCTGGAGCTCATACAAAACTCTGAGACAAACCCCACATTCTAGCAGCCACTGGTATTAGGGTGTATTAGGTTTCTATAATGATGTTTTTTCAGGGTTCATTGGGTTAACACCCCTCCACCATCCCCTAACCCCACCAGCAAGTCCGCAACCATAATGAGGAGAGGAGTTCTGATTTCCTCGTCCATTTTGGCCTGGCAGGTTAAATGTTAAACTAAACAAGAGATAGATAGGCTGATGTAACATTGATCTGGTGGCTCTAGTGAATTACTGGTCAGTCAATAAGCAAGAACCATTCAGGAAACAAGGACTGTACAGGGAAGCGGTTGCACTGAACTACTTAATGAAAATGCTAATGTAGCTGAGTATGTTATATTCAAGAATCACTGGTTTCATTTCATAGCAACTACTGCCTGATTTCATACTTAGCAGACATCATCTGAATTCGAGTCTGGTAGGCTCATTGAATTTATAACCAGCTCCAGATATTTTGTGAGATTTACAATTTGTGGTCATAATTCCGTGATTCTATATATATAAAAATGTGCTTTAAGTAAGGGGCATCATGAAAAATACAGATTGAAGCAGGAGGTCCTTGACCCTTTTAATTTTTTCTGAATAAAGAAACGACAGTTTTCCGAATGGTAAGCACGTTATTGTAGATCCAGGTTAGCAACAGCTGCTGTAAGACTGTTTATTTCTCTTCATTCATCACAAAGTGGGGTGAGGGAAATCCTAGCCACTGGTATTTTCTCAGTTGCATATATTCATTGTTATCTTTAAGGTTTGTCTTATCAGAAGTATGTTTAATTTTATCTATTACAAACATATACTGTGGTGTACATCATATCCAAGCTAATCAACTGTTGCAATACATACTGTACAGTAAGTGGGCACCACACGTACTTGTGTAGTTGTAGCTGTTTGAATATGAACACCTTGATTGCTCTGCTTTTGTGAAAATAATTCAGTTTTATTTTTATTTTTGCTGCAGTGCTTTGCCAGAGACATTTGGCCTTAAGCTCTGTGTGTTTAGCAACATCCTGGAAGTGTAGGTGAGGGATCCTTAAGTGATGGACTGCTGAAAATACCTACGGTACAGTACACATGCATATATGCCAGGAGTCCCCGTCAACAACACTTACTGTCCATTCATAAGTCATTTGATCAAAGAGGAAAATCTTGGTTCCAGTGCTTAGACTCCCACAGGAGCCTGTTTTCCTGACTGCACAATGTAATGTTACATGAAAGTGGCTGACATGACCTTTGTGGCAAGGATGAGCTCACGCGCCAGTGATCCTTATGCACAGGTCACCCTCCCACTTCCCCACTTCCACTAAGAGCTCTGCAGGACTAATCCACCCACCTTGCTATGACCATTTCCACGCCACCTTCCCAGTTCCTGCAAAGCTCCGTGATTTGATCTGTATTTTGTTTTGCATTTTGCAAGGTATTTGCATTGGAGGTGCTGCGCACAATGGCAAATAAACCCAAAGATGCATCCGTTTTGTCTCCTTCCTCCTTCAGCGCAGTGAGGCAGGAGAGAAATGAAAAAAATGATACTCGGATTTAGCCATTTTGTTTTCAGCTAGAAATTCTGTCTTCAAATGAGTGTTTCACAAAAACACTAGTTTTCATCCTTGAAAGCTGTGTCCTTAAAATACATCTTCGCCTTCTGTTGCTTTTGTTGAGGTCAAGGCAGTAGAAGTGAGCAGCTCGACAGGTTTCCCAAAGCAGACAAGAGGCACAGAATGTGTGCTTGAAGGCACTAAATATTTATGGCAGCCGGAGCTAGTAATGGATTTTTGTCTTTAGTGCTTCAAGAAATAGTGCCAGGAATATTTCAACATGTATCCTTGATTTCCGGAACCAACAGGAGATGAAACAAACTAGGGGACATTTCCTTTTCCCGAACTACTTGTACATTAGCCTGCTCTCTGTAGAAATAGCATTCTTCCTGGCGAAGATATTGCTGTGACAGTGCCAGAAATCCTACTGCTATAAATATACAGGAGTTGTGTTGTTTTGTGTTTTCTTATCTCTTAAATGCGGCGACCCCTTGTCCTTGCATATTGTGTAAACATCAAAGAACTGTGTGATTGTCCTTTCTTCTGGGTCTCTTGTGTTTGGCAGGGGAATAAAATTCAAGATACTTTCACCTGCAAAATATACATTTAACATTGTTCCTGTGGAATTGCTCACATTTTCATTCAGGAAATTTTCATGTCAAAAGCATGTTTTGTTAGCTTGTATTTTTATTTTTGTGAAGCATTTATATCAGACTTTAAAGTCAGGGATGTTTTTAGCTATGAGAACTTGAACGTTACTCCCAGCTCATATGTAGCATGATGTTACATTTTTTTTAGGTTGCTAGTTTCACATACATGAAAATCAGATTTCAAATGGAGCAAAACTCTGAAAAGTCTTGTTCTATCCTCACACTGTCAGATGAACCTTCTTGTCCTTGTGGATCGCCCATCAGCAACTTGGTTTTTCTACTTCCAAGCACTCAAAAATGCTTGGACATTTTGTTTTAAGGGGAGGGGACTAGTGATGCATATAGAATAATGCCCACAGCAGATGTAGGTCACTGAACATGGGATTGTTTTAAAAGCAGAGTACAGAAGTACAGTTTGTTAAACAAAGAATGAAATGCTGGTTAGATTGAAGCATTGTGCCATAGACTGAACCCCAGAAGGAGGGACTGAAAACCTGCTTTTCCTTCGGTCTTAATTATGTTTGCAGGAAAGTTACAGAAAAGGTTAAAAGGTCATTTAACCTTTGCTTTCTCTTCTCTGAAGACTGCCAAAAACACTCTCAATTTCACAGCAACAGCACAAGCATTTTTTGTGGGTCTCCTGCTCAGATTCACTGGTTCTCAGCATCACCTGATTTGTTGCTTCTCCTTTGGAAGCTACCAGACCAGGACTGTCTCCCTGCTGAGCATTCAGATTTATCCACCGGAGCTGGGCTATATACATGCTTTAACATTGTTTCTGGTTGCATTGAAACAAACGGGCAGAATTTCAGATCTCACGTTGCTATCTGACAGGGAGCCAGTTGGAAATGAGAGAGAGAAACATGAAATGAGAGAAATGTGCACTTGCTGTTGTGCAAAGTTCTTTCTTCAGAGCCCATACATTTCTAACCTTTCGGGTAAATAAAAGTCAAACGTTTGGAGTGAACCTACTTGTTTAGGTCAGAAAACGTTGTTATCTATAAATCTTTATCAGGACAACTAGGCAAGGAAAATCTTGCATGAGAGCAAAGAATACTCCTGAATATGATTGTTAGTGTCACAATGTTTTTTTCATTTCTTTCAGAAAAAAAGCCTTTGTATTTGCTTCAGCATAGAGAACCATAGCCTTTTGTAAGTGTTGTTTAAAAATGTCCATATGTTAGTCAGCCAAGATGACCAAAATACATAGTTCAGCTAATAAAAAAGCTTGATCATAGATTGACACTAAATCTTTTGAGCATGACTGTACCCTTTATATTTATAACAGTACTGTTACAATGAAAAAAAACCAAGTTTTAGAACTTAGCTAGGGCAATAAAAAAGCCTCTTGAATCTTCTTGGCAGCTACTCTAAAGCTGCAGCCTTCAGTCTTAAACAGGCTGTTGACATGGCATGTCTGAGAATGAAATTTTGAAGGAATAATAGGAACGTCAAAGGATGCATGTTCTTTACCTAGTTTGTCCTTAGGCATACTGGTGACATTAAAAGCAATTATGCACACTTGCTTTGAATGCCACTCAATTCAATAGGGAACATTGCTCTTTAAAGAAGAAAGCATCCATGGCTTTTGTCTTTCATTACTCATGCCTGTAGCATGCTTCCTGACATTATATTGTATGAGACACAATGGTCTTAATTCCCTGTGCTAAAACTGATTAAGCGTTTGTGTGGCTGTTTCTTTAGGGTGACTCCGAGCTCAGATACCTCCAATGCAGCTGCCTCCTCGGGGAGCCAGGGTAAACCTTCCCTCAGACGGATCAAGGGCCGAATCCACAGAAGCAAAAGCCTTGACAGCATCGAGCTGCTGGACTCCAATGTAAGTCTGGTAATACTCTTCATAACTGCAGCTGTTCCATGTGCTGAAAGTGTCCGTGGATGCAATGTTCTTGGGGAAAGTAGGAATCTGTGAACAGCCTAGCTGAGCATGCTGTCTCCAGCCTAATGAAGCAGAGTAAGGACCGAACAAAGTAAAAATAAATATGCTGTTACACTCCTTCGTAGCTCTTTTTTAAATTATTTGACCATGCATTGTACTATAACGAAAAAGACTTGAAATCTCAACTGTTCAGAGGGGCCTTTTTAGTCCCCTTTTAATTATTTTCACCTATGTGAAGATTTACTGTTAGACACTGCGCCAGTTTCTTGCCCTTTGTGGAGGGGCTTGTTTTGGTTAGGGGAGTCTTTAAAGTTCACAGTGGTGTTTTTAACACAAACCAGCATGAAAAGCAAATGCACAAAATATGACCTTTTTTGTTGAGGTCAGATAAGAAGGTTTTCATTTCAAGTCAAAAGGTTAAGAAAATTCTAAAGCGAGTCCTGGGCTTGACAGCATGGTAGGGATGTGTTCTTGAAAAATGCACCATACAGTGAATCACTTAATGAAAGTGTCTACTGTTGTGTCTGGCAAAATATGTAATGCAGTTTTAAAGGCATTACATTATAAATTATTTTTTCAAGTCTGCTTATGCACATAACAGGACATCTTTGATGAAACTGGCTGTTCGCGCCCCAGGTTAACACTTTGTCAACTGATCTGCAGTTGCTCACTTGAACATGTTTACCTTGAACCTCAAAACAGTGCAAATATATCGCCATCCTGGATGATGTCCTTCCCTTGGGGTAGGTACAGTACATGCTGACATCACCTTGGACACTGATGGCTGTGAAACATCAGCAAGTTGAGCTGTTGGTCAGTTACTCACTGAAGCTCCTGCCAGACATGCTCCAACTGATGTCTTGCAGTCATGCTAGTCATCATTACAGGCAACCAGACCTTGCTAGCATTTTTATACATGGCTTTAAGCATGCTGGGATGTAAGGCATGAGTCATAACTTTTGGGAAGCCCTTGGTTTCATTATACTTGGTGTCATGAAAGCAATATGCATATTTTGTGTACTACACAAAACCCCTCTCCCCTGTCCACATAATTGGACAAAACCTGACAAAACACCAAGCATAAAATAGAGCAGACTGAACCCCCCCCCTAACTGGTAGTTTGGTATTCATGCGATGTCCTGAAGCTGGTTATCATGTAAAGGAGTTACATCTGACTTTTGCATGTAAATGGCTTTGGGCCACTAGAGAGAACCGCTTGTTTGCCTGTGTATGCAGTAAGGAGATATTCGATGTGTCATCAACACAAGTGGAAAAGGATACACCTGTAAAGCACAGGCCTGTCCATGTGTACAAGCGTGCACAAATAGATACTGTATGTGTCTGTGCCAGCAAACATTGTAACATTGTGCAAATACCCCCAAGCATGTGCATGTGATTAATAACAACTAAAAAAAAGCCATGGGTGAAGTATTCCATATGGTTGCATTGAGTCGTCTCTTTTAAGTGGAAAAAAGAATAATCTTCCAAAATCAATCTATAAGCTGCTTGATTATGGTCCTAAAAAACATTTTAACAGTAAACGTCTTTACTGGTGTGAAAGCCGCTCAGTTTGTCTGGCTGGTGTCATTTCAGATATAGAATGGGGAAAGGGTGATTTTATGAATGATATATGCACAACTGTAAAGCTTTGTGAAAGGTAATGCTTATGACTTCCTTGGGCAGAATTATGAGCTTCACGTAGTTAAGGTAGCCTATATAAAGTAAGCAGGATTGCAACAATGTTTTATGAAGGTATTTACTAATAACATTTGAAATGACAGATTGGGGAGTACTCATTTATACTACAGGGCACATTGTGAATTAATCTGTGTATGAAGCTTGTGCTATGCTGCAGCAGCACCCCAGTTGGGATTTAGACCTACAACCTTCTCATTACAAGTCTAGCATCCTAACCACAACTCCACATTGCTTATCGTTGTATTGTGTTTGTACCATAGTCTGAAATCAGCATTGCAGCAGTCAGACTTTTTCAAGCACTATAGAGAGTTGACAATCCTATGTGACCACAACTGTATATGAGCACTAAATTTAGGGATGGCAACATTTGCAGACCACAGCCTCATCAATTATTGAGTTCTTCAAGCTGAAAGCCTTAGTTAGAGCTTGGCACATTTTACAGGTGAATTAAAATGACCTGACTTACCTGCAGCTCAGTGCTAATCCTCTGAATTAATCCTTAAGAATAATTATGCAATCAACACATCAGTCATGTGCTACTCATGCAATTTCTCAAATAATGAGTGTAACGAGCGCTTATTAAGGTAATTTTGACTTAACATTCTTTCAGCAAGTCACATGAGATATGAGTATACTATTTGCCTAAAAGTGTTTATCTGTGCAACCAGTAGGCCAAACCTCTGTACATAAATACAGTATGACTGACACTTGTGACAGATATGTGTAAGGGTGGTAGCGATCCATATGTTGTTCGTACTCTTTGTTGTCACGCCCTCTGTAGCCAGAGGGCGCTCCTACTCTGTCCTGTTCCTAGTTTCCTGTGATTTGCTGTCCTTCCGGTGTCTCTCTCTCTGGGGCTATATATTTCCGGGTCACTCATTCACCTTTGCTCAGCATTGACGTTTGGATGTCCTGAGACCTGCACGGCACCAGGTCTCCCCACGTCGGCTGCCTGAGGGCAAAGGTTTCTATTCGACTCCTGAACTGCTGAGCCTGGGCTAATCCCCCGTTCCGCCACTACACATAGGGTCTTTTTCCACTCTCCTGCTTCTCCACGGTTCGTCCCTTCTGACATCCGTGACAGAATGCTGAGCCTCCTACTGACCCCACGAGCGGCGCTTTTTTGTTTTTCTGCAGTTTTTTTTTCTCTCTGAGCTTTTTTCACTCAGCTCTCCTATTCATATCGTGGGATTCTTTTTCTGACTCCTGTGCCTGTGAGCGGGCTGCGGTCTGGTTTTTCTCGGGTTGTCTTTCCGGCATCTGTGATTGAATGTTGAGCTGGCCTTCCTGTCCTCATCGCTGGATATCACTCTGGTCATCCGTGCCTGGCTTTCCTTGGGTTGTTCACTCCGATATCAGCGATAGGGTGGTGAGCCTTTTTTCCCTCTCCCATTCTAATTGCTGGATATCAGCTTCCTGACATCCGTGCCTGTGAGCGGGCTACAGCCTGGCTTTCCTCGGGTTGTCTTCTGCCGATATCAGCGTTAGTTTGGAGAGCCTTTTTTGCCGTTCCTCCATTCTTATTGCTGGATATCACTCCGGTCATCCGTGCCTGTGAGTGTGCTGCAGCCTGACTTTCCTCGGGTTGTCCACTCCGATATCAGTGATAGAATGTGAACGTGCCTATTGCCCAGTCTGCTGTATTATTCCCAGGTTTTTGTGTTTTTATTTTTGTTTTTTGCTTGGTGTTTTGATTTTTCACTTCCTGGTTTCCCCTTCTCTCTGGTCCCCCTGACCCCTGTGTTGTGGAACTCCTATCTGTTTATTGTGGTTTGTTACCCTGGTCTCCCAGGTTTATTTCTGTCTTTTTTTTTGCTTGTGTACTTTATCTTTTTTTTGTTTTTAGTCTCCAGAGCTCTACCTGACCCCCCTTTCCTCTACCCAATAAAGGTTTATACCCTGGAGGAGGGGGCAGCTATCAGCTGTTGACTCCCGGAGGTTTCCTTTCAGTTAAATAAGGTTTTTCCTCTTCCCAGTGCTGTGCAGCTCACTTATTTGTATGGGCGTCAGGAGTCGCCCATGAAGGGGGGGTACTGTCACGCCCTCTGCCGCCAGAGGGCACTCCTACTCTGTCCTGTCCCTAGTTTCCCGTGGTTTGCTGCCCTTCTGGTGTCTCTCTCTCTGGGGCTATATATTTCCGGGTCACTCATTCACCTTCGCTCAGCATTGACGTTCAGATGTCCTGAGACCCAACCGGCACCAGGTCGCCCCACGTCGGCTGCCTGAGGGCAAAGGTTTCAATACGACTCCTGAACTGCTGAGCCTGGGCTAATCCCCTGTTCCGCCACTACGCATAGGGTCTTTTTCTGCTCTCCTCCTCCATGGTTCGTCCCTTCCGACATCCGTGACAGAATGCTGAGCCTCCTACTGACCCCACGAGTGGCACTTTTTGGTTTTTCCGCAGTTCACCTACGAGTGTGTCTTTGGACTGTGGGACAAAACTGGAGTACCTGTGAAAACACAGGGGAGAACATACAAACTCCATATGGATAGCGTTCCAGGTGCGAAATTTAACCCTGGGTCCCAGTGCTGTGAGGCAGCAATGATATCCACTGTCCCACTGTTCTGTCTGGTCCAGTAACATGTTATTGAAAATACATGACAGGTAAAATAATTATACTGATTAACATCTGTCATCATCAAGATTGATCGCCCTGGGGTCTATTGTGGAAGTCACAGACTAGTAGTGTGTGTGATCATAGCTGGAAGCAATACAAATTTGTACATCTGAGTACATTTGAACCAGGTTGAAGATCTTGTCTTGAAGGACTCGGTCTTCGTTTCTCTTTTAGAGACTGGACAAACCCATGCCCATACTAGTCTCTGAGAGAGTGGACAAGCATGTGTGTATTCACTGGTCTGTGATCCCAGAGTGCCACAGGTTGTCAGATAAAGGCTGGACAAGCATATGACTGTTCACTTATCTCTGAACCAAGGTGCCACAAGTTGTCCCAGCAGACACTGGACAAGCATGTGTCTGTTAACTGATCCCAAGGTGCCTCAATTTGCAAAGTTACAATTTGCAGCTATTCCCAATTATGTTAAATGAGGCGGATGTTTGGCGAGTAGACTGTCTATGGCGTTAGTGTCCCATTCACGTCCCGCAGAACAGCAGCTGTTACACGAGCAGCATGGGTTCCGGCTGGGATGTTGTTGATTCAGCGAAGCAAGTGAAGTCCCAGGATGTGGGAAGATCTCATGCTGTGCAAGCGGGTTGCCATCAGTCCCTGCAAGTGGATATC